GATCCTATTTCTGCATGCATTCACTTGTTCATTATAATTTATTTATTTATGCATATCCTGGGCAAGAAAATTAGGACAATCCCTCTAAGAAATTTGGATTAATTCCCATGGTTCCACAATTTACTTCTCTTCAAGAAACAAAGAAGTGTAGATTACTGAAAATGTCTGAAATTTTCTGGGGTAATCTAAACCCTGAATATTGAGAATATAGCAAGAGGCATTAGGGAAGTGAACTCTTTTTATACTGGTTTCAGGTGGGTCAAAATGTACTTTTCAGCCTCCGTTCAATCCCATATGTTCTGTGGGACTCAGTAAGTAACATATCTAGTATCTGGATATAGTTCGCATAGTTTTCACAAATAAACTCCCACAACCCTACTATTACAATTTTTAATATCTTATATGGTGATAGAACTAAGGCACTGAAGTTGTCTTCAAGGAATATTACCCATTGAATATTCTGGCTATAATGGAAATGATAACTAAGCCTGATAATACTAAAAGATATGTCTTAATCTGACCACCCCTAGACTCAACTTTTTGTTCTGTGAAAGAGGTAGATTAAAAGAATCAATAACAATCCCTGGTGTTCAACTAGCATCACTGCATGCCATACAATTTATTAAGAACTTTCTATGTATCAACTCATTTAATCTTCATGATACCCCTATAAAGTAGGTATACTTTTTGTACCCCACTTTACTGATAGGGAGATGAGAGTACAAAGAGATAAGAAATTTATCCAAAGACATTCAACTAGAAGGCACAAAAGGAATTAAAACCCGGATTTACCTAACTCTAGAGCCTTGTTCTCACCTTTAGTACATTTTGTGGTCCTTCTAACCCAAGCTTCCTTGAAATGACAAATAGAAATGGAAGTGTTGACAATTCCAAAACCACATCGTAAAGGTACAAAACTAAAATACATTCTTTCATCAAATCAGCATGGTTTTTCTAATCTTGTAAATATTAGTTTTGGGTCTTGAAAAGATGTTTTTATAGCAAAGTAGACTGAGAAGTAATGCCGATTTAGCATAATTTCATGCGAGTTGTCTGCAGCGGAGGTGAAGGGAGAATTCGTATTTTTGGACACTCTGAAAGCAATGTTCCATTAGTAGACTTTGCTGCACTCCATGCCCTGTCCTATTTAGAGAGCAATTATCTGAAATCTACTCTTGTAATAACAGCAATAGGGACTTTAAAAGGACAACCCTCACCCCTGTCCTGTTCATAATCCAACAGATCACCTTCTCCTTGTGCTTACATGACTTTGCAGAATTGGATCATAATACAGGCTCAATTTTTAATTCTTTGTACTTCACTTGTCTTGATGTTAGCATTTTACCTTCTTTCTGAATGGTCTTAAGGTTTGAAAAATATTATATGTACTTAATGTTGATGTGTATTATATAAACATGTCACCCTTGTTGCTTCCTCTCTCTCCCTTTCTTTCGTTACTATAAATATTCTGAAATGACCATCTTGTTATGTGCAGCTTGCCTTCCTTCCTTCCTCCCGTCCCCTCTCTTTCTCCTTTACTCCTCACTCTTTAGTTCTCTTTCTTTCTTTCTTTCCTTAGAATAAATTGTGAAAAGTGATCAAAGGATAAGAATATTTTTGTGACTCTTGAACCTTCTTCAAATCATTTACCAAAAATGTTATATCAGCAACAGGAGTACCATTTCTTTTCATCCTTGCCAGAACTGTTCATTATAATTTTAAACTTAATGTAATGGTAGAATTTTTCCTTATTAAGAAAAATTCCCCTCTTCTTGAGAGTGTTCCTTTTAATGTTTTTCATCTTTTAGATTGTTAGAGGAATAAATCTTTTGATAATTAAAACACACTCGATTACTCAATTACCTAGACAGCTCTTTTTAGGGATAGACTACCAAAATCAGTCTATTCCCCATCATATCTACCTAAGTGATATGGGACACATCTCAAATGACCCCCTTCTTGGTTGTCCACTAAAGACATCACACTACACCCTCAGTTGAGGGTGAATAGAACTTCCCCTGAGCTAGCTTATTTTTTTTTATTTTAAATTTTTTATTTACATTTTTTTAACCACAGGCTTAATTTGCATTTAGAGTTTCCCATTTTCTTTCTTTCAATGTTACCTAATAGTTACCACAAAGTAACTGCTCCTGTTTAGACTGCAGTAGAGAAGTCCTGTGGTTCTAATTACAAGAAGAGCATTAAACTCGAAAAGAACCCAGGGTTCTTATTTGCAGAACAAATCCACAACTAGTATGATTCAGTTTCACGCATTCTCTCTTTGTTGAAGTTCTAGTGGAGAAGGACGATGGACAATGGTTGAGCATGGCTGAAAACTTATGTTATATATGTTTTGTTTTTTTGAACAGTATCAAAACTTATTTATTCAGACGTTATGGTGAGTGATTTGTTCATACCCAGAAACTTTTTATTTTGAGAAACTTCAAACCTACAAATTACAAGAATAATACAATACTTATAGATTCTTCATCTACATTAATGAATTGTCAACATTTTGCCACATTTGTCTCCTTTTCTTTCTTTTTTTTTCTAAGACACCTGTTCAAAGACTTTTCTTTATATTACATTTCTCCCCCCACCGCAAACCAGGTGCGAATAACTTGCAGGTATCTTATCACTTTACTTACCCCGAAATACTAGAGCATATATCTCCTAATAATAAGACATTGTTATATAATGTACACAATTTATATATATGTATATATATATACATATACACACACACATACACATACTATATATATGTGTGCGTGCATGTGAGTCCACAATACCATTACCAGTCTCAGGGTGTTTATCATTAATACAATGCTATTGTCTAAAATACCATTTGTACCTAAATTTCCCAATTGTCCCAATGCCTCAACTTTTTCTTTTATGATCTAGGGGTCTATCAAGGATTATGCATTTTATTTAGTCTCCTTTAATTCAGAACAGTTTCTTAGCCTTTTTTGGTCTTTCATGACATTTTTGAAGATTCTAGGGTCCCTTATCTCCCTATGTCTTTTGGACTGTCGTATTAATCTACTTTTGACACCATTATGCTGTGTGTCATTCTTTTATGTCTTTTTTCCTTCATGTCTCTATGCTATCTTCACATCTGTCTAGAAAGCCCCTTATTGTCTTTCATCAGTTTTGGGGACATTTTTTTGTTTCATAGTTATTTTTTTCCTTTTTTTATTTTTAACTTCCCCCCTTCCTATAGGCTTTACTCTGTTTCCTTGAGATAATACTCTTTTAAAAATTTACTTGGCTTGGTATTATTTGCCTTGTTTCTGACTCTTTAGCATTTCCCCTCAAGATGATATGCTCCCTTCAAAGATCATTCTTTGTTTGTACAAGCGCTTTCCGGAGTTACACCTGCGCTCTCGAGTCTCCCAGCCCTCGTTTCGGTAGGCAGGCCTTAACTTACATTCTCATTTTCCAAGTTGCTCTAAACCAGAACGTTACTTTACCAAAACCATGTTCATTTAGATAGAGTATATTATGTTGTCCTTGACTCTGCAGTGAAAAATGCATTTTGTCATATTCCTGGTTCAACATTCATAAGATTCAGTTTATTTCAGTTGACATGACTCTTGGAGTTGAGGTTTAAAAGAAGGAAAATGTGCTTAACATACCTAAGCAGATATACATGTTGAAAAATGGCTATTGTAAAATGATGTTCCAATTATTTCAGAATAATGATATCAAATACAGTCTCACTGGAGAGAATGTTAGAACTGGAGGTGCTCTGAGATAATTAATTTGCTTTCCTTAGCTTTCGGAGATGGGAACTGAGAGCCCGAGTCACTTTAGGGTCATAATTGGTTGGCAGCAGAGAAGGCGCGAGGGACCCCATTCTCTGATCTTCAGTTCAAACTTACTTCTTTTGATCTCATTGTGTTTCCATTTATTTTTTTTTCTGGAAATAATATTCAGAAATGTAACAGAAATCATTGCAAAACACTTGGAAATGTGTGACAATGAAGAGTTAAGAGGACCAGTGACAATCTCATTAGCTATATCCTCTGGTTGCTTTAAAAAGGCAGTCTAGGCCGGGCGCTGTGGCTCACGCCTGTAATCCTAGCTCTTGGGAGGCCGAGGCGGGCGGATTGCTCAAGGTCAGGAGTTCAAAACCAGCCTGAGCAAGAGCGAGACCCCGTCTCTACTATAAATAGAAAGAAATCAATTGGCCAACTGATATATATATAAAAAATTAGCCGGGCATGGTGGCACATGCCTGTAGTCCCAGCTACCAGGGAGGCTGAGGCAGAAGGATCGCTCGAGCCCAGGAGTTTGAGGTTGCTGTGAGCTAGGCTGACGCCAGGGCACTCACTCTAGCCTGGACAACAAAGCGAGACTCTGTCTCAAAAAAAAAAAAAAAGGCAGTCTAGTACAACCTCTATGGAAAGGAGTACAGAGATACGTCAAAGAACTAAAATAGAACTAACTTTCAATCCAGCAATCCCACTACTGGGTATCTACCAAAGGAAAAAAGGCATTCTATAAAAAAGTCATCTGCCCTGGAATGTTTATAAGCAGCACAATTCACAATTGCAAAGATGCAACCCAAGTGCCCATGAATACATAAGTAGATTAGCAAAATATGGTATGTGAATATATATATATACACATATATATATACACACACACACCATATATATACCATATATATATACCATATAGTACCATATATATATATGTATATACCATATAGTACTACTCAGCCATAAAAATGATGAACCAACTATTGTATTATTATCCTAGATGGAGCTGGAGCCCATTCTTCTAAGAGAAGTATCAGAAGAGTGGAAAAACAAACACCACATGTACTCACCATTAAATTGGTACTAATTGATCAACACTTATGTGCACATTGTGGAAGTATTAATAACATTCATAGGTGTTGGGCAGGTGGGGAGAGGGAGGGAATAAATCCACACCTAACAGATGTGGTGTACACTGTCTGGGGGATGGGCATGCTTGTCGGGTGGTGCAAAGACAATTTATGTAACCAAAGCGTTTGTACCCCCATAATACTCCAAAATTAAAGAAAAAGAAAAATAGTCTTGCTTTGATGAACATTGCTACAAACCTAACATACATTGAATTATTGCTTTGTGCCTGGCACTGTTCTAGGTGTTTCACATGCATTGACTAATTTAATTTACAATATTCTTAAAATATTCTTAAAAGTTGACATATTATCATTCCCATTTCATAAATGCAAAATCTAGGGCCGTGAGTTTGAGTGACTTAAGGTCAGTTAGTGACAGTAAGTGTCAGAACTGCAAAGTCAGGTGATATGTTTCCAGAGTTGTTCACCTAACCATTATGATACACTTCCTTTCTTGATTTTAAGAGCTTCAAACACAAATGCCATTCTTTTTTTCCTCACAGAAATGGAAACTGAAGCTTAGATAGGTTTGAATGATTTCTTCATCATTACCCAATCAATAACACACCAATAGATATCCAAAATTATTTGGATACTTTTGCCTGAAATTGGGAAATTTCCAATATTATAAAGGTTCCTATTCTCCATTCTAAGAGGATTGCCACTTCTGGTGAGACTTCCTCAGAAATGTTATTCACAATTACACTGATGGGCCACATTGTTTCTTCTTGCCAATGTGAATTGGCAAGATGGTTGTTCCTAGTTTTTATCATCTGTGATTGTAGAATTGTTTTTCTCTATGAAGACCTAAGTCACTTGTATCTGCTAAAGATCAGGTATTTACAACTAACATACTCATTTTAAAAATGGAAAATAACACCAAATGAAACACTACATCCCTCCTTTATGATGAATTTAGTCATCATTTTCATTAGAGTACTAACAATGTCTATATGTCTATTGCTATAAAGGAATTTTAAAAAAGGTTATTTAGACTAGAAATAAATATAGTTCATAACTAAGTGGATGATAGAAAATTGAATTTTTGGCCAGGATTATGACATATGAACTAACTTACCAATTAGGGTTGACATAACAATGGGATAAATTTTCAGTTGATGATCTAAGTCCTGAGTTTCACACACCTCTAGAAGGAAGAACTGTAATATAATGTACTTGATGAAATTATTCAGTATGATACCATCTTCACCCTCTATTAAATACATATGTTATGATACCATAATGACCCTCTATTAAATTTAAGGCAAGTAGGAAATGATACTTAAAAAGTTGCAAAAATTGGGCTGAATTTCACGAGATTGTGCTTCTGTTACTTCCTTCTCAGATGCATATTGGCTGACAGAAGAATCATACCTCAGGATGAGAAGCAGCTCCGAGGGCCTCCTGAGAGTGGCCAGGTACTGAGGACTTAAGGCTTACCTTGAGCTAAGTTTGACACGATCAGATAATTTCTCATGTCGATCTGGAGAATGAGAATCATCACCATCTTGGAATGATTGCTTTGTACAAAAACCACTGGCATTTCTAATAAAACTTCCCCTGCTCTTCTGGGAAGCAGGCTACACAGCAGGCAATCGGGGTGAGGCCAGAATGTGAGTTGGCCAGAGCCTTATCTCAAAAACACGTCCTTCTTGAAAAATGAAGTGTTCGAGGAAGAGCACATGGCTGAGCACTTGTTTTGGGAAAAGGCTTGGACAGAAAAAGAAAGAGACAGTAATAGAAAAGAGGAACCCTAAACATCACCTTCCTTTTTGGTCTTCTAGACACTACATAAAATTCCCAAATATTATACCCTGTGTCCATTATAATGTAAACTATGTAGGGAATCTTATGCATGTGTCTAAACATGTTAGGTGATGCCACATTTTTTCTGATAGTTTTCATTGTTGAGGAGCACCAAAATGTGAGTTTGTCTTCTGTGGCAGAGGCTTGGGACATCCCCACCATTACCATTAAGCAGTTCATTAAAACAGCTTCAAGTTCTCAAGGGAAAGGTGATTGAAGAGACATCCGGTGAGAACCCATGTGAGGAAAAGGTGTGCTAAAGCTAACCATTTCTTCTGTTTAAAGGGTTATGTGTGTTAATTATCAATGGGGTCCTTGAGCCACAGGGAAAAGTGCTACTGGAATAAAAGGTCTGTATTCTAGTTTTAGAAAGGAAAATAAGTAATTAAGATAGAAAAGGAAACTCTATGCACCAGTTTTATTTAAAATGACATTAAAATTTTTATTTTTGAATGAAATTGGAAAAGTTTAGGTTCAACAATGTCAGGTTGGGATTCGAATAGCACGTGTCCTCTGCAGGGCACGTCTCCCTCTCTCTCTCTCCATCGATCCATCCATCCATTATGTTCGTTGCCATGGGAACCCTATTCCTGGGCTACTATGAGAAGCTCCTCTTCTTCTGGCCCCCACCCTCAGAGGTGACAGTGACTTAAGATTCAAAGCACTTGGGATTTGTACTCAACATTTGGATGGTCCAGATTTTCAACTACATATAGTTTAAGTAGAATTTCTAGGATTCATCTGGCAACCTGAACTATGGATTTAGTGAAAAAGAAAATGTGTTTTAATTCCAATCAACTGATTTGCGAAGGTATTCTGGAACCTGTTCTGTTTTTAATCTAAGTGTTTCTGAAACTCTGGCCATTTATGAAAGACATATGTTTTTCCCTAGCAAGCACATCCATTTAGGGCCCATGGGAAGAGAGATTATCGAAACGTGCAAAGCTTGCTCTCCTCACTCTTGGCTGACTTCTAAAGAATTATATTTCAATCCTGGCATTTGACTTATTACCTTTTCTGAAACAAGTGAGACCATTTTCTTATTTATGGCTTTTCTAAAAGTGAATATTCTAACTACTATAATTTATTGAAAAAATTTACTGCTTTTACTTTTTTTAAAATTCACAGATAAAGTCCCTAAAGCTCTTTTACTTATTTATTTATTTTTATTTCAGCACACTATGGGGGTACAAATGTTAAGATTACGTATATTGCCCATGCCCCCCTCCCCCTTCGAGTCAGAGTCTCAAGCGTGACCATCCCCCAAACGTTGCACATCTCACTCATTATGTTTGTATGTACCCATCCCTTCCTCTCCCTTCCCACCTGCCCGACACTCAATAAATGTTATTCCTATATGTCCACTGAGGTGTTGATCCGTTAATACCAATTTGCTGGTGAGTACATGTGGTGCTTGTTTATCCATTCTTGGGATACTTCACTTAGTAGAATGGGTCCCAGCTCTATCCAGGAAAATACAAGAGGTGCTATATCACCATTGTTTCTTAAAGCTGAATAGTACTCCATGGTATACATATGCCACATTTTATTAATCCACTCATGTATTGGTGGGCACTTGGGTTGTTTCCACAACTTTGTGATTGTGAATTGTGCTGCTATAAACATTCGAGTGCAAGTGTCGTTTTCATAAAGTGACTTTTGATCTTTTGGGTAGATGCCCAGTAGTGGAACTGCTGCATCAAATGGTAGATCTACTTGTATTGCTTTTAGGTATCCCCATATTGCTTTCCACAGAGGTTGAACTAGTTTGCAGTCCCACCAGCAGTGCAGGAGTGTTCCTATCTCTCCGCATCCACACCAGCATTTGTTGTTTGGGGACTTTTTGATAAAGGCCATTCTTACTGGAGATAAGTGATATCTCATTGTAGTTTTGATTTGCATTTCTCTGATGATTAGAGATGTTGAGCATTTTTTCATATGTTTGTTGGCCATTATTCTGTCTTCTTTTGAAAAATTTCTGTTCATGTCCTTTGCCCACTTTTTGATAAGAGTTGTTTGATTTTTTCTTGCTGATTTTCCTGAGTTGTAAATAGATTCTAGTCATCAGCCGTTTATCAGATGTGTAGCTTGCGAAAATTTTCTCCCATTCTGTGGGTTGTCTGTTTGCTCTCTTGACAGTTTCTTTGGCTGTGCAGAAGCTTCCTAAAGCTCTTTTAGAAACTCAGGTCGTCCCAGATACTCCCTGGCCTGGCGCTGCTGCCTGGCTCTGCTGGGACCAGCGCTGGCTTCCCACAGCATTTCCAGGAATCCAGGCTCTGCCGGCGCCCTGATGGTGACGTGGCAGAGGGTTCATGCTCTGGTATTGGTGACTTCAATTAATTTCCTCTGTACCTCAATTTTTGTAGTTTTTGCAAATTTATGCCCTTGTCCCTTCCTCTCTCTTGTGCATTAGCTCGTTAGAACAAATTCTGTTGGCATTGTTCCCATAGCCAGCAGATAGAGAGGAGGAGGTAGAGCCAGCCTCTCACTTGGGGTCAGGCAGCAGCAAGAAGTCCACGTCCAGTACCAACCACTGTTACTGTGTTTGGCATCTAAAGTGGGAAGAAGGATTAAGAAACACAGATCACATACGTCCTCCTGTAGAGCAGGGACCTCAGACAGAAAATGAGTCCTTATTCCTTATATGCTGTGAGAAGCTTTTGCAAAGTTCCTGAAACAGGGGACTAGAACCGATTCTCTGGTTGCATAAGCTCACTTATTGGGCAAATGAAGGCTGGATGTGCCCTTTTGAGTATTCAGAAAAGAAATGATAGCTCGTACTGAAAACATGCTTTCTGAATGATACACAGATGGCTATTGTCATGAGACTATTCTTCCCGGGCTACTAGAAAAGCTGTTCTTCCTCTGGTCACCACCTTTAGAGGTCTCAGTAGCTTAAGACTGACAGATATTTGGGACCTGTAACTCAACTCCTGGATAGCAGGCTTTTCGCTACATGATGGATTGATTAGAATTTTTTCAATTCAAAGAACCTAGCCATAGATATTATGAAGATAAGTTCCAAATTCCAAGTAGCTGCAACTAGCTGGGCACAGTGGCTTACACCTGTAACCCAACATTTTAGGAGGTCGAGGCATGAGGATCACTTGAGGGCAGGAGTTTGAGACCAGCCTGAACAAGAGCAAGACCCTGCCTTTACCAAAAATAGAAAAAAATAGCCTGGCATGGTGGTGTGTGCTTGTAGTCCCAGCTACTCGGGAGGCTGAGGCAGGAGGATCACTTGAGCCCAGGAGTTTGAGGCTGCAGCGAGCACAGTGAGGATGACACTGTGCTCTACCTGGGTGACAGAGTAAGACTCTGTCTCAAAAAGAAAAAAAAAAAAAAGAAAAAAGAAAAAGACTATTCACCTTCAATCAGCTTATCAGTCATTGCTGTGAATGAACTTTCTTGTTTCTTTTTTTGGTGGCATTACTGCACACCACTGTAGCCACAGAGCTGGGCATAGGGATTGGCACTGGTTTGGTGGACAGAGGGCAAATGATCCATACAGTTGCTAAGTCTTGTGATTCAAGGATGTTAGGAACAGATAATTTTTTGCGTGTGTTTGGGGACTGGATTATGAAGCAAAACTAGAAGAAACAAAAGAAAGAGATAAAAGTAGAAGCTGGGGAGGGAGGAGACTCTGGCAAAAACACAAGCAGGGCTATTTATGAAGACAGATGACAGGGAAGATAGAATGAGGTCACTATAATCTAATTTTAGAACATTTTCATCACCCCCAAAAGAAACTTGATACCTAATAGCAGTCAGTCCCCATTCCTCACACTTCTCTCTCCACCACCTAAGCCAGTCCTGGGCAGCTACTCATCGACTCTCTGCTTCCACAGATTTGAGGATTATGGACATTTCATGTAAATGGAATCATGCAATATTTGTCTTTTGTTACTGGCTTCTTTCACTCAGCCTAATGTTTTCAAGGTTCATCCGAGTTTTAGCATATACTGGAATTTCATTCATTTTTATTGCCAAATAACATTTAGTTACATGGATATATCATATATCATTTATCCATTTATTAATATTAACTGATAGACATTTGGGTTATTTCCACTTTTTGGCTAGTATGAATGATGCTATTATACACATTTGTGTACAGATTTTTCTGTGGACATGTTTTCCCTTCTTGTGGGTATATACCTAGGAATAAAATTACAGGGTCATGCCATAACTCTACATTTAACATTGAACAGGAAACTGCCAAATTGTTTTCCAAAGTGCTGGCCTCACTTTACATTCCCACCAACAAAGTAGGAGTGTTACAATTTCCATTCATTCTTGCCAACATTTTTTATTGTCTGACTTCTTGAATTTAGTTATCTTGGTGACTGTGATATGGTATTGTGGGTTTGCTTTGCATTTTTCTAAGGACTAGCAATAAGGTGCTTTTTTCATGTCCTTATTAACTCATTTTGAAAAATTAAGTTTTTAAAAAAATTATTGAGTTGTAAAGGTTTTAAAATATAATCTAATATTTTTTAAGAGAGAGGGTCTTGCTATGTTGTCTAGGATGGAGTGCAGTGGCTATTCATGGGCACAATCATAATGCAATGCAGCCTCGAACTCCTGGCCTCAAGTGATCTTCCTCAAGTGATCAACCTCCCAAGTAATTGAGACCACAGGTATGTGCCACTGGGTCCAGCTAAATATATTCTCATATATAATGTTTTATATATATATATATATATCATATATAATGATAAAAATCATTTATCCGATAGATGACTTGCAAATATTTTCTTCCATTATGTGGGCTGTTGTGCTGCTCAGGGTCTTCCAGCAAAGCAGAATCAACAGGAAGGACCTGCACACATACAGGTGTCTTGTTTCATTGTGCTTTGCTTCATCGCAATTCACAGATGTGTTTTGTACAAACTGAAGGTTCGTGACAACCCTTGGCGTAGCAAGTCTACTGGCATGATTTTTCCAAAGTTTCTGTGTCACATTTTAGTAATTCTAACAATATCTCCAAATTTTCTTTATTCTTATATCTGTTACTGTGACCTTTGATGTCAGTATTGTGATTGTTTGGGGGGTGCAGATGGTGCCCTGTGAGACGGTGCACTTCGCCATGACAGATGCGTGTGGCTGGCCTCGGCAGCACGATGCTGAAACTGGGACGATACAGAGAAGAGCAACATGTGCCCTGCACAAGGACGACATGCAAATTTGTGAAGTGTTCTCTGTTTTGAAGAAAAATAAACAACTTTGTACATTTGAAGATGTCTTCCAACAGCTTTTTGTCTTCAGTGTCTTAATGTGGAACTTCTCCTTTACCAAAAAAGGAAGTTGGCAAAAACAGCCTAGCAAAAATACTTTTTTAATAAATAATGATAGCCTAAAACTAAATATTTTTATAAAATATTGTAATATTTTATGGATAATTAAAATAAAAATTCTCATTGAATGCACCTAAAAAAATGTGTGTGTGTTCTGACTGCTCCACCAACTGGCTGTTGCCCTGTCTCTCTCTGCTCAGACCTCCCTATTTCCCAAGACAAAACAATATTGAAATTAGACCAGTGGGTAACCCTACAATGGCCTCTAACAGTTTGAGTGAAAGGAAGAAGCACACGTCTCTCACTTTAAATCAAAAGCTAGAAATGATTCAGCTTAGTGAAGAAGACAGGTTGAGAGCCAAAATAGGCCAAAAGCTAGCTCTCTTGCACCTGTTAGCTAAATTGTGAATTCAAAGAAAAAGTTCTTGAAGAAAATTAAAAGTGCTGCTCCAGGCTGGGCACAGTGGCTCACACCTGTCATCCTAGCATTCTGGGAGGCTGAGTTGGGTGGATTGCTTGAGGTCAGGAGTTTGAGACCAGCCTGAGCAAGAGCAAGGCCCCATCTCTACAAAAAATAGAAGAATTAGCTGGGCATGGTGGCACATGCTTCTAGTCCCAGCTACTCGGGAAGCTGAGGAAGGAGGACCGCTTGAGCCCAGGAATTCAAGGTGAGCTGGGCTGACACCACGGCACTCTAGTCTGGGCAACAGAGTGAGATCCTGTCTCAGAGGAAAATAAAATAAGTGCAACTACAGTGAACACATGCATAATAAGAAAGTGAAACAGCCTTATTGCTGAGATGGAGAAAGTTTCAGAGGTCTGGACAGAAATCAAATCAGCCACAACATTCTCTCAAGCCAAAGCCTAGTCCAGAGCAAGGCCCTGACTCTCTTCAATTCTGTGAAGGCTGAGAGAGGTGAGGAAGCTGCAGAAGAAAAGTTGGGAGCCAGCAGAGGTTGGCTCATGAGGTTTAGGAAAGCAGCTGTCTTTGAAACATAAAAGTACAAGGTGAAGCAGCAAGTGCTGATGTAGAAGCTGTAGCAATTTATACAGAAGATCTCACTAAACACATTGATGAAGGTGGCTACAGTAAACAACAGATTTTCTGTGTAGCCAAATCAGCTTTATATTGGAAGAAGATGCCATCTAGGGCTTTCATAGCTGGAGAGAAGTCAACACCTGGCCTCGAAGACACTGAGGTATAAACATACTTCAATGTACAAAGGTACAAGGTACAGGCTGTGCAAAAGTACAAAGTATAGGACGACTCTCTTGTTAGGGGCTAATGTAGCAGGTGATTTTGAATTGAAACCTGTGTTCATTTGCCATTCTGAAAATCATAAGGCCCTTAAGAAATTACGCTAATTCTACTCTGTGTGTGCTCTATAAATGGAATGACAAGGCCTGGATACAACACATCTGTTTACAGCACAGTATAGTGAATATTTTAAGCTCACTTTTGGGACCCATTACTCAGAAAAAAGATTCCTGTCAAAATACTGCTCATTGGCAATGCACTGAGTCACCCAAGAGCACTGATGAAGATGGACAAGGACATTAGTGTTTTCATGCCTGCGAATACAACATCCACTTTGCAGTCCATGGTTCAAGGAATAATTTCAACTTTCAAACCTTATTATTTCAGAAATACATTTTCTAAGGCTGCTTTGATAGCGATTCTTCTGATGAATCTGGGCAAAGTTAGTGGCAAATCTTCTGGGAAGGAGTCACCTTTCCAGATGCTGTTAAGAACATTTGTGATTCATGGGAGAAGGTCACAGCATCAGCATTGACAGGAGTTTGAATGAAGTGGATTGGAATGGCTTTGAGGGGTTCAAGACTTCTGTGGAGGAAGGAATGTCAGACATGGTAGAAAGAGCAAGAGAACCAAAATCAGAAGTGGAGCCTGAAGATGGGACTGAATTGCTGCAATCTCATGATCAGATTTGAACAGATGAGGAGTTCCTTCCTATGGACGAGGAAAGAAAGTGGTTTCTTGAGATGGCGTCTCCTCCTGCAGAAGTTGCTGTGAGCATTGTTGAAATGGCTACAAAGCATTTGGGACATCACATACACTTAGCTGGTGAAGCAGCGGCAGGTTTGAGAGGACTGACTTCAGTTTTGAAAGAAGTTCTACTGTGGGTAAAGCGCTGTCAAACAGCGCTGCGTGCTATGGAGAGATTTTTCATGAAAGAAGAGTTGAATGATGCAGCAAACTTTTTTGTTGTCTAATTTTAAGAAACTGCCACAACTTGCCTCAGCCGTCCACAACCACCGCCCTGGTCACCAAGCAGCCACCAATGTCAAAGCAAGACCCTCCACCCCCAAAATGATTATAACTCACTGAAGGCTCAGATGAGCATAGTTTTTGTTTTGTTTTCTTTTGTTGTTGTTAGCAATAAAGTATTTTTAAATTGAGTTAGGTGCATTGATTTTTTTTTTTAAAGACATAATGCTATGGCACACTCAACTACATTACAGAGTAGTGTGACTCTAACTCTTACATGCAGCGGGAAGCCAAAACATTCCTGTGACACTTTTTATTGTGGGTTTTACTTTGTTGCAGTGGTCTAGAGCCAAACCAGCAGTATCTTTGCAATATTTCAGAGGTATGCCCTTAGAAACACACACACACACACACACGAAGAGAGAGAGAGAGAGACAGAAATTTTAAGAAATTTGTTCCTATAATTGCGTGAGCTCGGTAGTTGTAGGGCAGGCTGCTACAGGCTGAAAATTCTGTCAGAAATTGATGTTTCAGTCTTGAATAGGAAGGGAGGCTGGAAACAAAATTTATTTTCTGGCAACCTCTTAAGGCTTCCGTTGATTATATAAGGCTCACCCACAGTCTGGAGGATAAATCTGCTTCACTTAACGTCTATGATTTAACAGCGACATCTAGCTTGATGTTTGACCAGACATAGCCTAGGAACATGACACATAAAATTAACTACCACAATTGTCTTTTCATTTTCTTGCTAGTAACATTTGAAGAACAAGTTTATAAGTTTGATAAAGTCCAATTTATAATGTTTTCTTTTATTACTTGTGCTTTTTGTTTGGTATCTAAGAAATTGTTGCCTAACCCAAGATCATAAAGATGTGTTCTTAAATTTTCTTCTAATAGTTTTAGGCCTTACATTTAGGTCTATAATTCACTTAGAGTTAATTTTTATGTATGGGAGGAAATATGGGTCCAAATTCATAGTCTGGCATTCTTTTTGGGTATCCAATTGTCTTAACCTCATTTATTTAAAAGGCTATTATTTTCCCATTACATTTTCTTGGGACGCTTGATGAAAATCCATTGAGCTTATATTGCAAGTTCATTTCTGGAACCTCTATTCTATTCCATTAAACTATATGTCTCATCTTAATGCAAGGAGCACACTACCTTGATTAAGGTAGCTCTATGATAAGTTTTGAAATTGGGAAGTGTGAGTCCTCTAATTTTGTTCTTCTTTTTCTAGTTTATTTTGTCTATTCTGGATCTCTTGCATTTCCATATGAATTTGTAGACTCATCTTGTTAATTTTTGCAAGGGAACTGGTTGGGATTATCGTAGGTATTTTGCTGAGTATGCAGATAAATTTGGGGAGTCATGTCATTTGAAGAATAATATGTCTTTTGATCAATTAACATGGGATATCTTACTATTTATTTAATCTCCTTTAATTTTTTCAACAATGTCTTCTAGTTTTCAGTGTACATCTCTTGCACTTTCATTAGATTTTTAAATTATTTTTTTGCTGCTACTGCAAGTCAAATTTTTGTGATATCATTTTCAGATTGTTCATTGCTAGTGTACAGAATTATAATTGATTTTTATATATTGATTTATACCATACAATCTTCAACTTTATGATTCCTAATAGTTTTTTATTCCTTAGGATTTTCTACATGCAAAATCGTATCACCTGCAAATAGAAATAACTTTTTTCCAGTCTGGATACATTTTATTTCTTTTTCTTGCCTAATTGCCCTGGCTAGAACCTCCTTCCAAGAAATTGTAGATGTCATTTATCTAATTTTTTGGTATACATTTGTTCGTGCTATTGCCTTAAAATCCTTTTCATTTTTCTAAGGTCAGTAGTTACATTCCCTTTTTCATTCCCTATATTAATAACTCCTTTTCTTAAGCTGAAGGTTTGTCAATTTTATTGATTTTTTTTAAGAACCAACTTTTAGTTTTATTACTAAAACTTGGAAGCCACTAAGATGCCCTTCGGTAGGTGAATGGATAAATAAACCATGGTATATCCAGACAATGGAATATTATTCAGCTCCAAAAAGATATGTAGGAACTTAAATGCATGTTACGAGGTGAAAGAAGCCATTCTTGAAAGGCTACATAATGTATGATGCCAACTCCATGACACTCTGGAAAAGCCAAAATTAGCAGGCAGTAGAAAGATCAGTGGCTGGCAGGGGTGGGGGAAGAAGAGCCGAGTAGACAGAGCACGAAGAACTTTCAGGGCAGTGGGACTGCTCTGCACCACACAGTCCTGGTGGACACATGTCATTGGAAGTTTGTCCAAACTACAATGTACATCACCAAGAGTGACTCCTAATGTGGACTGTGGGCTTCCAGTGACAATGGTGTCAGAGCCGGCTCGCCAACTGTAGCAGACGTGCCAGCGTGGAGTGGGGTGTGGAGGGCGGGAGGGCTATGGTGTCGGCACCTGGGGATGTGGGAGCTCTCTGCACCTTCTGTTCAGTTTTGCTGTCAACCTAAAACCTCTCTAAAAAATAAAGTTTGTTTAGAAAAAAGGACTTGGGCCTAGGTAGTTTGTTTAGGAAGTCCATTTCACAAATCATGAGGGGCCAAGAAGGGAGAGTGAGATAGGGAAGGAAGAAGAGCCAATGCAAGAGTATTTTACAGAGTTCACTGCTCTAGAAAATGGGGGACTTTTTTTTTGAGATAGGGTCTGGCTTTGTTGTCAGGGCTAGAGTGCAGTGGCATCATCCTAGCTCACTGCAGTCTCAAGACCTCAAACTCCTGGGCTCACGAGATTCTCCTACCTCAGCCTCCCAAGTAGCTGGCCCACCACCCT